TAATTTTTTGAGTTTTCTCTTATTGATCTTTATTAACATGTATTACTTCACTATTTTTTACTTAATCCCAATAGCTTACTATTGACTTGGAAAACTATGTTGTTAGGCATTTTACTGGGTCAAGGATCCATAATCCTTGATCATCTTGACCAAGTTTTGGATATGCCACCATGATGAGGTCTTTCAATAGGCCAACCCTTGCCAACTACCCCTAGTGCAACTTCTTGGACTATTAAGTAGATTCCCTTTGTCCTAAAATCTTAAACTCGGATTTCCACAACGCTTACCTCTAAATTCCACCAACTAGACTTTGGTTATCTTTATTGGTGCAAGTTTAGTTAAGTTGAACAATTATTGATGAGTAGAGTTCCCAAAGGTAGATGGCGCCCTTGCATTTGGCTAAAGCAATGTTACCACAAGCAATGGTTTACCCTGTCAATAATGAAAGGCATGTGGTTATCATGATTTAATATTTTTCTTTGATGGATTTGTTAATTAGTGCACTCTCAAGTTGTTAGTTAATTGTCACATATTTGTGACAAAAAATATGCAAAAACTATTATGCCACAATCATGAGCCTGTAAGTTGATTTATCAAGGGGATGATAACACCAACAAAGTAAAACTAAGAGACTAACTCCTTGCTTGAGTTGCAACATCTCTCCTTAAATTTATAATATATTTTTCTCTTTATGATTTAATTTTCCTTAACTTGAAAATTAATCACTAATTAAATTCATTTTATACTTGTGAGAAAAACTTATTCAAACCTAAATAGGATGGAAAATGATTCATATGCACTTGATTCAACACATTTTTTTGACACATGTCTGATTCAATTATTAAAATGCAATACAAATACAATCCAATTTAATTAGTTCCTACACCTATATGTCTGACTGCATATTTAATAATTATTAAATAAGTGTATTGTGTAGTATGTACCAATCAATGTTCAAATCAAATGATACATGAAAAACCCTAGAACTTAAGCCTACCATTCATGGTGCTACAATGCAAGCAGCCACTTGGTTGCTCTTCAATAGCTCATGTACATATGCCTCCACTGGGCACTTGTGTGTGTAACCAGCACCTAATTTGACAGCCAGTTTGTCTCTACCCAGCCATAGCCAATCAAGCATTGCCCAACATATGTGTGACCTTGCTACTCGCCCGCCCATACTGGCGCAAGCTACTAGCTTGAGCACACGCTATTTTGCCTCACACATAAGCACCTAAAGGATTGTGCAATGTGCACCTATGCCTTGACTGGCCAAGGCTTATGGTGTCAAAGTATGCCCTATAACTAGCTTGAGAGGGTAATTATATGTACTAGTGATTACACTAATTATATTTTTTAATTTTTTTTGTCGAACTGTTATTTTTCTATGTACATTAAATATTGATAAAATCCTTAGAATGTTTACTGCATTAAAAGGTAATATAAGCCATTGCTATTAGTGAAAACCATAAAGTTGGTAGCAATGTTTTTAAATTGTCCATTAGTTGTATACATTATTGAGATAGAAAATCAATCAATGTACAAGCTAACACATGTGACACTTTGCTAGTTGGCAAGACTTCTTATAAAGTTTTGTGTCACACATGGGTGGCTCATAGAAGATGGTTGCACCAAACTAACTTGCCATTAGAACACTACATGCACATGTCATTAGTAGTATCTCAACTATGATGTGAGTGTAAGTGATCATTTGACTTGAGATCATTATTATTCTATACAAGGACTAGTGCACTTTGATGCAGTGTAAGTGATCATTTGACTTAAGATCATTATTATTCCATACGAGAACTTATGTACTTTGATACTGTTAAAAACAAAAACCATGAGGGTTACAATTGATACAAATATTGGGTATATCACGAATCACATGAGAAAAATGAAGAATTCAAGATAGGATTCATTCCTACCAAACTTGGTAATCAAAGAGAATATATCAAGTTTGAAGAATGATGACACATAACATACATCTTACTTGATCGTGATATCATTGAAGAAGGGATTGAATTACACAAGTATATCAATCATAGGAAGGTTAGTCGAAACCATTAACATTTCTCACTTTATGTGGCCATGACAAGTTATTAGACATTGCTCTCATCCTATGGGGCATACTCACTGCCACTGTAATAGAAATATAAAAGGTTATAC